GGGAACAGGAAGGAATACACTGGTATGGCAAATGTGTTTAGCAAGAAGGAATGAAAGATTTGAGATGATGTGTAGAACACGCTCTGAAGGTGGATGAAGACACCCCGGGCTATATATCCCTTCATGGTGAGGTGACCTTGGACAAGCTACTTATTAGCTCTTACTCTGTTTACATGTCTCTTAAATGGGGATAATAATTGATGGTATTAATAGTTGATGGTAGTAGTAGAGGAGATAGTGCTTCAGATTTTGGGAAGTCTTTTATCCTAGAGGCAGGAACCCTCAGATGAGAAGAAACATGATTTGATCTGTAATGCTGGCCACATTGTGGTTTCAGGTGATAACTGATCTAGGCAAGCACTGGTGAGGACCTGAGCTGGGACAGTGGCCATGGGGATCGAGAGAAGATGGACGTAAGAGTTAGTCCAGAGAGTGACACTTGAACGGTTGAATTTGGAAGCTGAGGAATTGAGAGAGTTGCAAAAGACTCTGAGGTTTTTATTTTGAATAAGTGGGTTGTTGTCATCCCAGAGGTGGGAAAACATTGGCTTTTAGCAGCAAGAGGAAGCAGTTGTGGGAGAGAAAGTAATGAGTTGAATGTTTTCAGTCTTGAATTAGGGTGGTTGAAAGGAGTCCAAGAAGTTCCAGGTTAGGCAGTTGAATCTCAGAGGAAAAGTAGAGACTTGGACTTGCCTATAAGTTCTTTAAGTTTAGGGTCATGGTATATTTAGTTTTGTTTTATCATCACCCACTCCCGAAGTATATGTGACATTAGTAGAATATAGTTATGTTTCCTGAAGATGTGTAATCATTAATATAATCAGACTATTTTAAAAGCCCAGTATCTGTTGATTTTCTTATTAGTCAGGCATGTGAAATATAATTGCTTCGTCAAATGCATGCTGGTTATTTTGGAGAGATTTTGAAGGAGGAGGGATTTACTTTATATACTGTCATCTTCCTGCATTGGTCACATCTGTTCCTTTTGGATTCCATACAAGATAAGATGGAAATTTATGGTAGCCTCAGTACGGGGAAAGTCAAGCCTAAGGATAATTGTGATCTCAAGTAACATTTAGCTATTCTTTAAATGTCTCTAGTGTTAGTTGCAAATATCTTAGAGTGCCTTGAGAGGTACAGAGCAACTTTCAAATGTGTTTGTTTTTTAACAGTTAAGTTTCATTTAGCATTTTCGCATGGAGAAGAAAAATGTTTTAATGAAAAATTTAATGTTTTAATGATTGCTTATTTCTCACTTTTCTTCCTAGTTTCCCAAATAAAATTGTTGAGATGCTAAACATAAACATTTTTTAAAGGAGCTTTTTATCAGAAATAATTTGGTAAAATGTTTTAAATACGAGTTCAAATTTAGTGACTAAATAGATATTAAAGACTATAAAGATTGCAACAGATTAGAAAATAATGCAGTATAATGATAACCATGGCCATTTTGAGAACAAGGATTTGAGGATTTGGATTCTAAGTGAATTTCTTACTCTAAGCAATCATCTCCTAAGGGAGGCAGAGCAAACATTTTTTTTTAAAGCTACTACTGCACTAGAATTCCAAGACCAGCTTGATCTATATAGTCCTGGGTAAAGTAAATCAAAAAGGTTTGGACTACTTAGGGAAGAAAAAGGTTTCAGCCTGGTCTGACAGTGAAATGGCATCACAGAATTGTAGTATCTTTGCTGGGGTCACAGACTAGCCAGCTTCATGAGAACCATGCAGGGTCGTTGCTGCTGGTGCTGAGAATCACATGCAGAGAGGAGCGAGCCTGTTGGGCAGGTGCAACTCAGTGACCAGAGCCAGGCTGCTATCCTTCCCTGGGGTAATTCCACACTCTTCATCACGGACATATCATGTACCATGAGGCTAACTTATTCACTTTAGAACTTACATTTTTCCCTTTTAAAAAAGTAGGAGTCTCTTTAAAGGAACCATGGGGAAAAAAACATATCTGTGTTGGAGAGCATTGCTTAATTACCTTCAGTTGATGTATCAGGAGGACAGATGACAACCTTACATCTCTCAGGTACACGTATGTGTGTAACTCAGAGAATCTGCATTTGACCTTTAATATGTATATTCAGAACGGTAAGCACTATGATATAGTGATTGAAACATACACAGGAGTATGTGTGTAGTATAATTTAAGTAATATATTAATATGCATAGGCAAAGAAGACCAGAAGAAAATAGGATGAAGAAATTATAAAGTGATGTTAACACAGGAGAAATACAAGCACATGGAAAAATGAGCCACACCTGTAATCAAAAAATCGAACAAATAGTGGTACTATTTTATACCTATTAGTGTAGTTTTTAAAAATATTTTTTCTGATGTTAAAACTAGTACATGTGTTAGGCTAGGAATTTGGAAAATACAGCAAAACTTGAAAAAAAATAAAAAGGCATAATTCCTCTGGCCAGAGTTTAATATGGATACTATTTTGATGTATTTCTCTCATTTCTTTTT